ACAAAGAAGTATCAGGTTGGGCATTCTTTTAAATTTCTTAATATTTTCATTTTATTCAGATGCGTCAAATGACTGTAAAAGATGAACGTACAAAAATGGTTAACGAAGTCCTTAATGGTATTAAAGTCATCAAACTTTATGCTTGGGAACCGCCAATGGAAAAAGTCATCACTAAACTACGAAACAAAGAACTTTCTCTGATTCGAAAATCGGCCTTTCTTCGGACTCTTAGCGATATGCTTAACAGTGCTGTGCCTTTTCTTGTAGCTCTTTCAACTTTCGCAACATATGTGCTTATTGATCCAGAAAAAAATTTGTTGACACCAGAAATTGCTTTTGTTTCACTGACTTTATTCAATCAATTAAGACAACCAATGAGTACTGTTGCAGATTTAATTTCACAGACTGTTCAGGTTTTAACTTAAAATTTTCTAATGGTGAAGAACCAGTTAAATATAGTTAACATTATAATTTGCGTTTTTACGTATAAATTTTGGAACCAGAACTTTTATGTTTCAGGCAAAAATTTTATCTTGGGTTCTGTTTTTAAATGTTCTGTTCTCTAGATTCTACCCGTTTTGTATTTTCTTTTTATTATTTCTGCTAACATAATATTATTTTTAGGTTACTGTCAGCAATAATCGACTTAAACATTTTCTTGTAGCTGAGGAGCTAAATGATTATGTCGAAAAATTTCCTATTGAGGATGGCTCTTCTTCACCACCTCTCAGTTTTTATCAAAATAATGCAATTGTTGCAGAGAATGCATCATTTAGTTGGGACCGTACAGACAACCAACCAGTTCTTCACTCATTAAATTTTACAATTCCAAGACAAAAGCTTGTTCTCATTGTTGGCACTGTTGGATCTGGGAAAAGCAGTATCTTGATGGCTTTACTTGGTATTATTACTATTAGTTATTTTTTGAAGGAATCGAAACGTTTTTGTCCTGTATATTGTTCCCGTGTATTTTTTCGTATATAAAAATAGGTATCTGTGTATTTTCCATTCTCATCGAAAATTTTCTACTTGCCAATAATTTTTTGTATATGTATTTTATAGGTGAAATGATTAAGCTCTATGGTCGAATAGGCGTTTATGGTCGTTTGGCCTATGTGTCTCAACAACCTTGGGTTCAAAACAATTCTGTTAAAAACAATATTATATTCGGCAATATACCTGATGAATATTTCTACAATCGTGTGATTAACTGCTGTGCTTTAAAACATGATATTGATATTCTTCCACAAGGTGATGCCACTGAAATTGGAGAAAAGGTTTTATATTTTTTTCTTATACAAATTTATGTATTTAAAAGGGCATTAATTTGTCTGGAGGACAAAAAGCTCGAATCAGCTTAGCACGTTGTGTATACCAAAACCCAGACATTTACTTCCTCGATGACCCTCTTTCTGCTGTTGACAGTCAGGTCGGAAATGAAATATTCAAAGAGCTGTTTGGCCCAGAAGGCTTGTTAAGGCATAAAACGCGTTTATTAGTTACAAATGAATTGTCTTTCCTACCTTCTTCTGATTTTATTCTCATCGTTAAAGGTTTAATTTCAAAAGTTATATTGCAATTAATTTTAACTTTCATATAGACGGGCGTGTCATTTCCTCTGGTACTTATACGGAATTGTCGCAAAATGGAACATTGAATCGTTTATTTTATGACGTCAATTTGGAACGACTTAAATCGACTACCACTTCGCGTAAAGATAAATTAATTATTAAAAGTGATTCCCTTTTGTTATTCTTTGTAAAATATTGAAATGCACAATTAATTATTTTATTTTGTTCCAGATACTGTGGACGAACAAAATGATATGGACAATGTTAGTGATGATACTGACGAAACATTTATGGATGAAAATGCTGCTGATGTTGAGAATTTGATGGGTGCCTCTGTAATGTCTACCGTTTCAACAATTTTAGCAAAACGCAAATATAGTACTTCAACTTCTTATAGAAGAAGAAGACCCACGATGCGAGAAAGTTCTGAACCTTCTCTTGATGTGCCAATTATGCGACAATTGACTGGAGTTGAGAAAGTTGAAACTGGACGGGTTAATATTTTTTATATGTTATTCGAGAAAGAATTTTCTCAAACCCACTGGCCTCGTTCATCCAATGGCCTTGTTATACTTTTAATTAGAATTTAAAAATTTAGGTAAAACCTGCAGTGTATTTGGGTTATTTTCGTGCAATGGGATTTTGTCTTTCTGGTCTTTTCTTTTTGGGAATGATTCTTAGCACTTTGGCTTCAATGTCTCGCAATCTTTGGCTCACGGAATGGTCTAATGATCAGTCTCCAACAGGACACCCTTCTAATGAATCGCAGCCTGTATCTGTGAGATTAGGCGTTTATGCAGGAATTGGATTTTTAGAAGGTTTTTCTTTCCTTTATTAAATAAATAATTTTATTATAGTCTTTCTAATGTTCTTCGGTATGTCTTCTCTATTGTTTGGAGGCGTTTCAGCAAGTAAGAATCTACATGCACCACTTTTGCATGCCATATTTCGTGCACCAATGTATTTCTTCGACACCACTCCATTTGGGCGAATACTTAATCGAATCGGAAAAGATATTGAAACAATTGACTTTTTGCTTCCTTATAACGTGCAATTTTTTGCTCAATGTGTACTACAGGTTTTTATTTAATTTGGATTCTGAAATAAATTTTTCTAAAATTTTAGGTTCTTTCCACACTAATTATAATTCTGATCTCAACACCAATGTTCGGTATTGTTGTTATCCCATTGGCAATTTTCTATGTTTGTGTCTTGGTTTGTTTTTTTACATTTTTATTCTTTGTTTTAAATGTTTTAATTTCAGAAATATTATATTTCTACATCTCGGCAGTTAAAAAGGCTTGAGTCGATTACGCGTTCACCCATTTATTCACATCTTAGCGAGTCAATTAATGTAAGATTAAAATATTTTTTAATTCTGCCAATAAATATATTTTTAATTTCTTAAGGGTGCTCCTACAATTCGTGCATATGGACAAACTGATCGTTTTTCCCGTATCTTGCAACAGAAAGTTGATGCGCATGTTCAGGTTATTTTTTCTTATCCGAAACATTTTTATTATTCTTCCACTTTTTTTTCTGTAAATCCTTTTTTTAGTGTCGATATCTTAATTACGTGGCAAACCGATGGCTCAGTATCCGTTTAGAATTCATAGGCAATTGTGTTGTACTTTTTGCTGCTTTCTTTGCAGCCATTTCACGTGGTTCAATAAGTGCTGGTGTGCTCGGACTTTCTGTTTCATACTCATTGAATGTTAGGATTTTTTCTTAATTTAAAATTAATATACAGTCGGGCTTCACTTGTACGAACATTCGCGAAGAAAATATTTTTCGTAAAGTGAGACTCTTACAGGAGGGTCCGACTAGGGATGGGCGCAAAAACAATTTTCAAAAAAAAACTCAAGGCCAAAACTAACCCAAGAACTTAAAAGTAAAAATTTCTCATTGTACCAAATCACGCAAAAAACGCATTACCCAAATCTTGGGTTAAGCTGTACATTAATTTCTTATTTTTCCAGATAACTTTTGTGCTAAATTTTGCTGTACGTCAAATCAGCAAGCTCGAAACCAATATTGTCTCTGTTGAGCGTGTTAACGAATATTCTAATACAAAGCCTGAAGCTGAATGGATTACCGAGCCCTCCAAAAGGCAGCCTCAGAATTGGGCTAATCATGGGAATATAGAATTTCGTGACTATTCTACTCGATATAGATCTGGACTTGATTTGGTTATCTACCATTTGAATGCACAAGTGCAAGCAAGGGAACGAATTGGCATTGTGGGCAGAACTGGGGCTGGTAAAGATAATTTTAAAAAATTAAATAAATTCTTAATTTTTAGGTAAGAGTTCAATTACTCTTGCTCTTTTCCGTATGGTTGAGCCTTGTTCTGGTACAATCTTTATTGATGGTGTTGATATTACTGATTTGGGACTTCATGATTTACGTTCAGCCATCACTATAATTCCGCAAGATCCAATACTTTTTTCTGGCACTCTTCGTTTTAATTTGGATCCATTCGAGAGGTATACAGACCAGGAGATTTGGACTGCGCTAGAGTTTGCAAGTCTGCAAGAATTTGCAGCAGCACAACCAAGCAAGCTTGAACATGAAATCACAGAAGGCGGAGAGAATATAAGGCAGTGTATTCTTTTATAACTTAAAATTATATTGCTTTTTTAGTGTCGGTCAACGTCAATTGGTTTGTCTAGCTCGTGCTTTGCTTCGTGCACCGCATTCTCGTATTTTGGTATTAGATGAAGCAACGGCTGCTGTTGATGCTGACACTGACATGCGAATTCAGCAGTCTATTCGCGAGCATTTTTCACATTGCACAGTGTTAACTATTGCACATCGTCTGAATACAATACTTGATTATGATCGAGTTTTAGTTATGGAACAGGTGTGAATTATATCAAAAATTCTAAACTTTGTTCTTTAAAAACAGGGCCGAGTTAAAGAATTTGATTCACCACAGACACTCCTTTCAAATCCGGATTCTGAATTTTCAAAACAGGCAAAACATGCAGGAATACTTCCATCTTCATTGACTTCTGGCATTTCTTTTTGAGGATTAGCTGAGAAAACGTGTTAATATTTCCACTGACTCATCATTTGACTCATTTTTCACTCCCACCCCCATTATATATATATTTCACAATTCTCATTCATTACCTCTCTATTAAATAGTAATAATTTTTTAAGTATACATGCAGATTAAATTTTTTAGTGCATATTAGAAAAAGCGTTTGTATTTAATTTGTAAAAATTATAAATATGTATCTAATTATTAAACTGTATTCAAATTAATAGGATTATTTTTTAATAAATATATAAAGGATTTTAAAATATATATTTAGAGACGTCCAAAACTCTTGGTCTGAACTTTTTTAAGAATTTTTTTTCTTGGACGTCTCTAATATTTACTCATTTTCTTGCCTTTTTTCGTGTACTGCCTAATCTACACTTTGAAGATAATATTGTATTTTTTCTGGTGCATGTGTGGACTTTGTAATATTTTTAATACAAAATAATAAAATTATAATTGACTTGTTTAAAGAACGATTATGTATTTTTAATTTTAAACTTTTCCACCGCCTCTCTTGGCAGAGCCACTTCTTTTAGGAGGCAAATTCTTTTTCTCAACTGTTTGATCCATCATTTCTAATAAATCTTTCCCTTTCTTTACTCCCTTTGACGGTGATTTTTCGAGAGGTTTTTGTTTATCTTTATCTAGATTCATCTAAATAATTAAAAAAAATTTTTTGAATTAAAAAAATTATACCTCATTCAAAGCTTTATCCAAGGCAGCTTTCTTTCCAATTGTTGGGTTTTTTGTTTTATTTTCTTTTTTTATATTTTTATTATTTTCTCCTCCTTCATCTTCAAACAAAACTAATTCAAAATCATCAATTGGTTGATTATTATTTTTTATTAACATGCTTAATAATCCAAGTTCATCACCACTTGTTGTATTTAAATTTTGAGGGATATCTTGTGATTGTTTGGATGTTTTTTGTTTTTGAGTTAAAGAAGTTGAAGGTTTTAACTAATATAAAATAAAAGAAAATATTTTAATCTTTAATTAATTACCTGTTCAGTTTCACTATTTGTTTTATACATATTTTGACCCAAAGTTGTTCCTCTTACCATTGTACGGTCCTAAAATAATTTTTAAAAATTATATTTACATATTTAATATTTATTTACATTCCCGGTAAAAAAGGTGTTCTCGGCTTATCCGTCTCTTCTGATAATTTAAAATTCATTACCCAATACTAATAACACAAAAAATAATTTTTATAAAAGATCACCTTTAAAGAGCTTTGCTAACAAGCACTAAAAATCTTTTTCACATTACCTAAACTTCCGTTTTCAATGATAAACGGTGGTAAGACATTTTAAAAAGTATTTTTGAATCAAAAATTTTTAAACTTTTTTGTGTTATTAGCAAATTATCAGAAGAGAAAAACTAGGATACATCAAAATCTGAAAAGATAGAAGGAAATATAGGGTAGTCGGAGGTTTACATTATATGTACGTATTTTAAAAATAGAAAATAAAATTTATTTTTTATTTTCTTTTTCCCTTTTAATTATACATTAATTGTTTATATATTTTATCGTTCCTTTTTATAGAAATAAAAAATTAAAAAAAATTTTTTTCACCTGGTAACTATCTGGTGAAACTTTAAAATGTTCATCTACAGGAAAGTTTTCACTTCTAACTAAAGCACCATTTTCTACATATCTAACAGATCCAGGTACAACAGCATTATAGGGTAATTCAATTTGTTCTCCTTCTGGGAACAAAACAAAACGGCCGTCTTTTTTTATTTAAATTTTATTTATTTAAAATATTTTTTAAAATAAAAACACCTTCCATTTGTTTATGTTCTCGTAACATTAAACTAACTTTAACTCTAGCCCCAAGAAGAAAAGTTAATAATTCACTTCTAATTATAGCCATTTGCCATAATGGAGTATCTCCAAAATGATCCATTAACTTTAATTTTAATTTTGAAAAAATATTTTTTACTGTCAAGAATACCCTTTAGATACAATTTACGATAGTTTTCCCCAATTTAAGATTATCTATATCTCCCCCCCCCCTTTATATTTAAATTACTAAACTAATGTATTGGCGTAATTTAAATGACTCAAAATTTGTTGATTTGATTGAAAGATTGCTTTCATTCCATCAATATGATTCATTGTAACCAACACTAATTCTGAAGGTTCTTTGCACAAAAGAAATTGATATTTTACTGCCATTATCATTAAATCAAATAATTTATCCATACTTTAAAAAAATAATCTAATTAGAATTGCCAATTCCTTGGCAGCAGGAATAATTTTGGGAGTTTTGAAGGTCATTTTAGTAAATTAATTTTTATATCCCCCCTCCTCCCTCCCTCCCTACCTTGCTTCATTTAAACGCATTACTGATGAATGGGCAATTTGTTCAAAAAATTGTCGAAGTCCCTGTCTTGACATCCTTTTTATTTAATTAAATTTAAATAAAAATATTTTATTTTTTAAATTTAGTACATTTCTTTAGGTTCAAACAATTCATCCAAAAAACTATTCCCCAACATTACAGCAACAATATCACACAAAACTTTAACACTTTTTTCATTTCCAACATTTTGGGCCTTTTTTTAATTTAAAATTAATTATTTATTTAATTATTTACTTGTAATCTCTGCTCTAATATATAAGCCATTTCACCTCCCATATTTAAATAAAGAAAGGGCATTGCTTGAAAACTCATTTTTTTATTGAAAAATAAAAATAATGTTTTTGGAAATAAAATTACAAATAAATAAATACGTAAATTATTAGGTATTTTCTTTTTTTTTGCTTCCTCATAATAACAAAAATATTTTTATTTATTGTTACCAAGGTGATATTTAAATAATTTTAATTTTCCAAAAAATAGTTTTAAGATAAAGAGAATTTTTGGTTGGTGTCCCCATAAATTTAATTTTTTAATTAAATAATATATTTAAATTATCAAAAATAAAATTTCTTTAAAAATTTATTATCTAGTTAAATAATATGACCAATAAAAAATATTAAATGCTGAAAAAATTAAAGGAAAGGCACGAGCACAGAAAAAATCTATTTTGTGTCCCATCTCTCCATGTTTGTAGGTATTTACAACAGAACCTCTAGCATTTTGATATCGGCCAGCTAAATCTTCTCGAAATGTTGTATAATAACCATCATTTTCATTGTTATTATTGTTGTTACTTTCTCTTCTTAAAATTAAAATATGTAAATTAAACACGGCCAGAAGGGTAGAAAGGCCAGAAAAATCGGAAACCGAGTTATACTTTTTATTTTATCCCCCCCCCCCTTTCCAAAATATTTCCCTCAATTTTCTTCCCAAAAATAATTTATTTACAATGCAACCATCATTGTTTGATCTGTTTGTCCCATTAAAAGAGAACGAAATCTTCTTTGGCTTTTAGCTTTTCTATATTGGTCTATTTCATAAATTTTATCAAAATAGCCAATTATAGCCATTTCACATAAAGACATAAATATAAAGAATATTGAAACAAAAAAGAATAAATCTAAAGCCTTTAAATTGTTTAAATTTATTTTAATTTTTTGGTATTTTCCAATTATTTGTGCCTCGAATTTTAAAATTATGTTCATATTTACAATATATGGAGGGCACAGATAATAACAAAATAAAAATAATTATATTTTTTACTTTTAAATAAGAAACTCTCGGAAGATTCTGTACAACATTCCCCATTTGATAAATAAGAGCACAAGCTGCATTTACACATAAAAGTATACGTGCAGGTAAGGCATATCTATCAATCCAAAAACTTATCCAGGAAATAAAAACAAATAAATATGAAGGTAAATAAGCCTTTAATTAATTTAAAAATAATTATTTAATCAAATCTCGGTTGTTTATATACATACTTTTAATGAAGATAAAAAGTAAAAATGAGGTATAAGTAAATTAAGCTATTTAACCGAAAAAAATGTTAACAAAAATATTTGATTGTTTAAATGCTCCAAAATATGTTTTAAATAAAAAAAGTTTTGGTGGCTAATATATTATTTAATTTAAAACCAAAATATAAGACTAAAACAGAGAATTAAAATATGAGGGAGTAGTCTAAATTTTAAAGTAATTATAAAGTAAATTTAAATAAAGCAATAAAATATATTCCCTCAAGATTAAATTTAGACAAAAAAGGATAATTTAATTTATATTTAATTTGTCGGATATTTTTTAAAAAATGGAAGGGGAATTTTATATTTTAAAATAAATTTTAAAATATTTATTTTAATATTCCTTCTCTACCTGTACAACATAATAGCCATATAAACGTTTAAATTCAAAATTAATTTTTAATTGATCAAAAGCCCCAGCATTATATCTTCTAAGTAATCGAGTGTAGGTTAAATTAACAAAACGGAAATCAGGTAATTGAAGTTTCTCGCTAGCAACACTTACAGGATTCCAATTAAGCCAAGAAAGTCTAACTTCCGCTATTGGATACCCACAAGATTCCAAAACTAAAAAACAGCTTTGGGTGTCTAAAGGGAAATTAGCAAATCCATCACCCATTGTACAGCGACCCTTTTAAGAGGAAAAAATAAAAGGGAAATAAATGTTAAAATGAATACTTGAACTCTAATTCTGTGATTTAACCAAACAGTTCCATTACTGTAAATAATTAATAAAATATTTGATTCTGGAGAACTGTGGATATATGTATTTTGACTAAAAAATAATTTAAATATTTTTGAAGATATCTTCTAAACCTGTTTGTAAAGCAAAGATTTGGAGTCCAAATTTTGTGAACCAAAGATTCGTCTAATGACAAATTACTTTTGCAGCTTAAATGTGAATAGGCTAATCGAGGATCTGCCCAAATTTGTGAAAACCAAAGATCAACAATAAACGAAGAACTTATTTCGCTTATTGAACTTATATCTTGAATTGTGACCTGAAAAGTGAGAAAAATATACTCATTTAAGTGTAGCTTCTCCCCTCATTTTATGTTTTACAACTTTTTATTCACAAACCCCTCCTAAACCTTCTCTTTTTTATCTCTTAAATTTACCCTCCCCTCTCCCTTCAATTTTAATGTTAACTTTAAGGCTAACAACTTTATCAATACCTCTCTTTATTTCTAGAAAAATAAAGAAGAAAAAACCTCAGCCTGAACATCAAGAATTCCTCCACTTGGCTTAGTTGCTTTGTCATATTCTTTAAGTAATTGGGCCATTAAAGACTTTCCTTGTGAGGAAGGCATACTGCAAGATTGCTTCTTTTGTTTTAAATATTCTTTTTTACCAAGAGAAATATTGACAAAAATAATTAAAAATAATAAAAAATACATTTAAATTTTTCTAGTAAATTTAAATAAAAATATATAGTCACAAATGTTCTCTCTAAAAATATATTTTTTATTTTCAATTTAAAAAATATAAAAAAAAGATTTTTATATGCCAAATGTTCCAACAATTTTTCAAAGCAATTTCCGCTTTTTTGGCCAATGAAGTAAAGTAAATGGGGGGTTTTCTCTCCCATTTTCTTTCCTCCAAATTTGGGAGAGAATAAATAAATGAATGAAAAAAACTTAAAAAAATGTTTTTTGAACAAAAATTTATTTTTTATTTATTGGGGGAAGTAAATGACTTTTTTAAGCTAAGTATTTTTTGTGTGTAAATGAGAAACTAAAAATGTCAACCCAATCTTTTAATTTTTGAAGTTTTTTAAGTGAAAAAAGAAAAGAAAAGGAAAGGGTATTTAGACATTCTCAATTATTTATGTAGTTATTTTTATTTTAATAAATAATTATTATTTTATTTTATTAATTTTTAATTAATTTATTAAAAAATTTGCAAATTAATTTAATTAGAATACTAATTTAATTACTAAATATTTTAATTAAATTGCTGATTTTTGCAGATAATTAAATTTAAATTAGAATACGTAGCACCTGTCTATAAAGTATTTGGGGATAAAAAAATGGTTAAGATAAAAAAAATTATATACTTGTGCCTGCTATTCCTTCCCTTTCTCCAAAAGTTGCATACTTACCAAACTTCCTTCATTCTTCAATTTTAATAAACTCTCCTAAATTATTCAATCATTTATTATTCAATCACTCAATAAATATTAGAGATTTGACTGATAAAATATAAAAAATGAGAGGAAAAGTCACAACTAATAAAAAACTTACGATTTAAATTAAAGGGCCCGAGTCTTGGGTCCGAGATTCTTGGATTACTTCAAAGGAAAACGTTATGGATGACGTTATGGATGATTTTTTAACTGATGTTTAAAGCTCCCCCCCCCTTTACTTTGACTAAAAATTAATAGAAATAAATTATTAATAATTTATTTTCCTTTTTTTACGAAATAATTTATTTTAAATATAGTCATAATAACTGGCATACATTATTTATCCCTTTTAAAAAACATATTTTTAAAACACGTGTTGTGATGTATTTATTTATTTGTTAATAATAAAATAAGTTAATTTATAAACTTTTTTTATTTAACTAATTTATTTTTTTTATTGATTAAAGTTGCCTTTCCGGACAACTTATTTTATTTAAAAAATAATCCAAAAACCTTTTTTAAAATAAAATAAAATTAATTTAAATATCCTTCCTTTGTTTTAAAAATTTAATTATACTTTTTTGTCCTTCAACTAATACCAAAAAATTTTTCAATCCAATCCTTTTAATTAAATTTTAAATTAAATTAAATATATAAAAAGCATTAAATAATTAACATATTTTATAAAGCTTTATTTAAATTACTCAGACGAATTTTTCTTAAATTTGTTTAATTTTTTCTTTTAAAAAATTAAAATTTATTAAATAATTCTTTTTATTTAAATGTACTTTTATTTTTTTAAATAAATAAACAAACAAATTTATTTATTTATTTATTCTCTCAAAATATCTCGCCAAGGCTTAGAAGGCAGTATTTATTATCTTTCCTATTCAAAAAAATTTTTGTTTTCCCATAAGCTCTAATATTTTTATTTATTTTTTTGCTTTTTAATGCATCGAAAACTATGCCACACATTTACATATTTAAAAAAATTTAAAAAAATATTTATTTAAAATTAATATTTTTAGAATTTTATACGCAAGAGCGCGACGATTTTAGATAATTATAATGTGATAAAATAAATAAACTGTAAACAATAATTTTCCTTAACTAAAATTTTAAAAATTGTCAAAATGTCTTTTAAGGGGATTTGGGAATGAGTCAATAAATTTAGATATGTCGAAAGCGGCTGTTAAAAATAAATATAAATTTATTAAATGTTTTTACCCAATCTAAAATAATTAAAGAATTACTTGATTATTTCTTTATTCCTCCACCTTCCTTAAAAATATTTTTTTGTTTATTCATTTCTTTTAAAATTATTTTAACCTATTTATTTATTTATAAGACAATCACAGGTACATATTTGTACACTAATGTGATAAAAAAAATAAAAATGTCAATAATAAAAATAACTAGGTAAATTAAAACATAAAAAAATGGAAAATTAAAAAATAATATAAAAAAAAAATTTTATTTTATTTACTCCACTCCAGACAGTCTTAGTAAATTTATTTCTTTTGTATATTCCCTGAATTTTTTTAAATTATTAATTTCAACTATTTCTTTTGGTAGTTTGTTCCATAATGATATTATTCGGGTAAAAAAGTTATTTTTTGATTTTTTTGAAAAGGGTCTATTTTGTAAAAGTAAAGCCCTTCTTTTTGCCCGTTTGGTTAAAGTAAAATATTTTTCTGGTTCCAAATGAGTGTAATTTTTAAGAATTTTATGTGTCATACAAAGGTCTGTAAGAATTCTTCTTTCTTCGAGTTTTTTTAGTTTGCAAATTTTTAGTCTATCTTCATATGATTTCTGCACAAGTCCACATTTATAAAATGCTTTTTCAGTGTATAATTTTTGGATTTTTTCAAGAGTTTTTATTTGATCTTTTCTCATAGGATTCCATATTTCTGTAGCATATTCTAATAAATGACGTAAATATGTTTTATATATGAAAATTAAAGTGTCAAGATTTCGTGATTTAAAAGTGCGGAATATTTGATGTGTTAAAAAATATCCTTGTTTGGTTATTTTATCTATTTGATTAGAAAATGATAAATTTTTATCAATAATAACTCCTAAGTCACGTATACTGTGTTCTTTTTTAATTGGTTGATCATCTAGGTAATATTCGTATTCATTATTGTCTTTACCAAGGTAAAGACAAAAGCATTTATTAATTGAAATTTTCATTCCATTGTTTTTTGACCAAGATTGTATAAGATTGAGACTTTCTGATAATTTTTTTCTACAGATATCATTATTATGAATTATATATAATTTAACATCATCAGCATACATTTTAATATTTACTTCATTAGGAAGAATTTTTGGTAAGTCATTAATAAATAAGTTAAATAGAAGAGGTCCAAGTACACTGCCTTGTGGGACTCCTGAATAAGTTTCATATTTATTTGAGAGTTCATCATCTATCTTCACATGGAATGTTCTTTTCGTTAGGAAATTTGTCAGAAATTTAAGTATTTTTCCATCTATACCAGCCAATTTAATTTTTTGTATTAATATATTTATAGGTACTGTATCAAAGGCTTTTTCAAAGTCAATGTAGATAATATCAACTTTTTTTTCTTTATCAATATTAATGTAAATATCGTCTAACATTGTGAGTAGTTGTGTTATAGTTGAACGATTTTTAAGAAATCCAAATTGATTTACATTAAAATATTCGTGAAGGAAAATTATAATTTTGTCAGATAGTATTCTTTCGAATATTCTGCATAGAGTGCATGTGAGTGATATAGGTCTATAGTTTTTTGCAATTGTTTTGTCACCTTTCTTAAATATAGGAATAATTATGGATTGTCGCCATATTTCTGGGATTTCTCCATCATCAAGGATTTGTCTAAAAAGTTCTGTTAAGATTGGAGCAAGAGTTAATGCACAGTTTTTTAGAAGTATGTATGGAATAGAATCTGGTGAGGTAGAATTTTTATTCGGAGCATTTTTTAAATTAAAAAAAAAAGATATTTAATTAATCAACCTAGTTGTTGATTAATTAAATAAAAATTAATTTAAATATAAATATATCTATCTATCACTTTACATACAAAAAGCTTCCTATTTTTTGTTAAATTCCTTTGGGAATTTTTTAAATTAAAAAAAAAGATAAAGAAAATAAATATTTAAATTTAAAAATTATTTAAAAAAGAAAGAAATGCACTTTTGTTTTTTTTATTTATTTAGCTTTTTTTATTTAATAATTTTTAAAAATTTTATTTCATTTTTTTAATTTAAAAAATCAATTTTAAAATTTTAAATTCATTTTTAAAAAATTTTCTGTTATTATCTAAACATTGGGGATATAATAAAATCAGAATATTAAATAAATGAAAAAACTTTCCATACACTAAATATTAAATTTTTTAAATTAAAAGTGCCTGTATTTATTTTAAAAAATAGAAAATTGATGTGAATTATGGGGGGGGGGAGAAAGTTTTAGGAAAATATTTTAGGAGTAAATAGGTGGCATTAGCCCTCTTTATTAAAGAAATAATATCAAAATTAAGATATACATATATGAATTTAATTTAAAAAATATATTTTTTTATTTTACATCAAAAAACATGCCCTTAAATGTCTACTATAGTTCTCATTATTTTTATGTAAAAATCTTTTATTATTTTTCTAATAAGATTTTTTAGTAAATATTTTTTGTATTTCCTAGCTAAAAATTGTGCAGGAAATACTTATAATTATTTTTTGTTTGATATTTTCTTATTTATTTTGTAAAAAAATAATTGAGGGGTGAGTTGGGTAAAGCACAAATTTTTGTTAATTATTATAATAAATATATTTTTACTTGTATTTATTTTGTTTAAAAAGAATTTTTTGTAATAAATTGGGTCCGGATTTTTAGAAAATATAAATAAATTCCCCAAAATAAGCAGGAAAATAGAAACAAAAATTGTTTATTTTCTGTGGGTAAAAATATTTAAAATAATAATTGCCTAAAAGCATTTTCATGACCAGGGATGACATCTAGGCCCGACTCGATTTTTCGGTCCTAGTCTGTCCATTTTGGCAACCCTATATCTAATACACCTCTTTGTGTGTATTCCTTTAACATAAAAAAGGAATACACATAAAGTTGGCTAATTAAGAAAGAGCATCCGTGCCCAGTTCCAATATTCGTTCCGAAAATAATAGAAGGGAAAACATCCACTCCCATTGATACCAATTGTGTGTTTTTTAATTTTTTGGTGGTAACAAACATTTTAATTTGATTTTTAAAATTTAATTTCCTTTTTTAATCTTTGGTCAATTTCACGAAATTAAATTAAATATTTAATTTTTATACCAAAAATCTCTTTTGTTTTAATTAAAAATTCGTTTTCTTTGAAATTTAAATGTTTCGTTATTTAAATTAATATATTTTTTTATTTAATACAAAAAATTTCTTTATTTTTAAATTCCACAGAAATGCTAAAAATAAATTAAATATATTTATTTCTACATATTTAACGCATTTTTGAATTTTTATTTAATTTTAATTTTGATGTATAGTTTTTTTCTGTCACGCAAAAGAAAAAAAACTACAAAAATATTTTCAAAAAAATATTCCAATTATTTTTTGTTCATACATTTTCTTCCGTTTTGATTTTTAAATTTTATTTTATTCTTTACTAATTAGGAGAGTAGTGTTGAAGGATGGTTAGGGCATGGAAATTTTGATAGTGGAGGGGGGTTTATTTAATTAAAAATAATTTTAAAATAAATTTTGTCGGACTCGAATTATTTAACAAATAAAAATTAATGATTTACTTGTTGGTTAAATCTTTCTTGGCATTTTTAGCGTCTTTCCTAAAAATTAAAGTCATTTAAAAACCTCTTGTTGGATGAGGCACCGTAGGTTGTGCTCTGGTCTGGGTCCTTCTGATTGTCCTCAAAAAAGTTTTGTGAAGTATAATTCTAGGTGTTGGCCATTATTTTATTTTTAAAGTCGTTTTTTTAAAATATCAAGTTTGCAATATCTTATTATTTCAAGTTTTGTGTCAATACTTTAAGAAAGAATATTAACGAGTAAATAAAAATTATTATTTTCCCTCTCCTTTCCATCTCCTTTCCAATTAATTTTTAAAAATATTTTTTTTAATTTTTATTTAATAATTTATTTATAATCCCCCTTAAATGTTTATTTTTATTCTAAACAAAACAGCCAAACATATTTTCTTATTCCCTAATTAGGTTAGAAATAGAAAAAAATAAAAACATTTTTTCTCTTCTGCGCATTTTAAAATAAAAATTATTTTTAGAATTTTAAAAGGGAGAGGGAATTGAGAATATTTTATTTAACTTATTTTCTTCTTCTTCTAATTTCAATCCTTGGTTTTTGCTTTTCTTGAAATAAAAAAAATACATCTTTTTTTGCTCATTTTACATAATTTTCTCTTTTAAAATTAAAAAAAAATATTTTTTAATCTGGTTGCTTAGCACCATCTTTTTAAGATTAAAAAAATAAAAAAATATTTTTTCCAGAATAATGTGTAGACTTAGTAGATGTATCTAATTTTTTAAAATAAATTTTTAATATTATTTAGTAGTTATTCTTCTCTCCCTATTTACATCATCATAGTTTGGTAACTATGTTAACAATTGACCCAAAAGTCTGACATATTTAGATACTCCGAATGTTTCAGACCAGACTATGTATATTTTTATTCTCCTCTCTTCATTCGTAATTTTTGTATTTCTTTTCTTGTTTCGACTTTTAAAGACTCGAAATCCTTAAAAGAGATGTCCGTCCGAGATATACATATTCCCAATTAATTATTTAAAATATTTTAGATGGATTCTTCTTCTTTAAATTATTATTATTCAACCTCATCTACATCACCCTCTCCTCTTTCTCCCCCAAATATAACAGCTACATTTAATGATAATAATTTTGAATGTCTTCATTATATAATTCAAAGTCCAGATCCAACAAATTCTTTATTGGCTATAATTATTTTTGGAATTATTTATATAAATATTTTTATTTTTGGTTTATTGGGGAATTTAGCAATTGTTTTGTTAACTCTTCGTTGTAGCCATTTAAGATCTGTTCAAAATATTTTTATTTTAAATTTGGCTTTATCTGATGTTATTGTTTGCCTTCTATCTTTACCCTTTACATTAGTGACAAATATATTTAAAGAATGGCTATTTGGTTCTGCTATTTGCCATTTACTTCCTATGGTTCAGGTATTGGAATTTAGTTGATATTTAGACCTTTTTTTAGTTGATATTTAGTTGATATTAGATTTTTTTGTTATATGAGAGATAAAACTTTTCGACCGGTTTATAACACCGGTCGAAAAGAGATAAAACTTTTCGACCGGTTTATAACATCCTTCAAAGGCTTAGACCTTTTTTTAGTTGATATTTAGTTGATATTAGATTTTTTTTTCTTTTTTTAGTTGATATTTAGACCTCATTATAAGGAGAGTAAGGAGGAGAACTGCTTAAGCAATACTCTATTTACATAAATATAATTAGCATCTTTTAATTAAATCCAACTATATATTAAAATCTATTTTAATTAAAAAAATAATTTTAGGCAGTTTCTGTATTAGTATCAACATTTTCTTTATCGGCAATAGCCATAGACAGATATTGGCTAGTTCACCGTCCACACGGTCATTCACTTAGTCCATCACAAGCTACTATAGTTGCTTGTATTTTATGGGCATTTTCTTTATTTATTTCATTGCCATATGCTTATTATATGGGTTTGGAAGAATATGAAGGATATTGTGGACAGTTTTGTTCTGAACAATGGCCAAATACCCAAATAAGGAGAGGATATGCTTTAGCTGTTTTAGCTTTACAATTTCTTTTACCTTTTTTGACAATGTCTTTTTGTTATGCTTCTATATTTTCGAGGCTTAGAAGAAGAAATAATACAAAATTAAAAAAATTAAATGAAAGACAAATTATGTTGGCTAGACAATCTAACAATTATGAAAATGGATTAATTGTTGAAGAAAAGGTGGGGGGATTTAATTAATTAATTCTGATTGTTTCTCCTTTAATTTGAATTTTTTCTTTCCTTTTTTCGTTTAATTTTAATTAGGGACACATAACATCGATAGAAGAATTGAATAAAATTTTCTTTTTTAAAGGTTGATTGTTTATCAAGAAAAACTTCTTCGTTTTGTGAAGAAAATGTTGGGGGAAAAATCAGAGTAAATGCTTTAAATAAACAACAAAGAAGAACAACAACCATATTAGCTACTGTTGTGCTATTTTTTGGTTTAGCCTGGTTACCTCAAAATGTTTTAACAATGATTATTGAATATGATATACATTTACTAAATTGGGGGAATGTTAATTATTTATATTTACTTTCTCTTATATCACATTGGTAGTGTTCTTTTTAATTTTAACTAAAATTTTATTTAAAATAGTCTTGCAATGACAACAAATGTTGCTAATCCAATACTTTATGCTTGGCTAAATCCGACATTTAAAGAACTTTTTATGAGAACAACAATAATTCCTCTAATTTTCAGAAAAAGAAAAGAAAATAATTTAATTCAAACTTCAACAAAACAATTAAACACAACATCTATTAGATCCTCTATACAAAATAATAATAATAATCCTTTAAACGAAAAAAGAATTTTGGTTCATTTAAATAATTTTAAAAATTAAAAAGAAAATATTTTATTTTTTCTTAATTATATTTATTTATTTTTGTATAAAAATATAATTAATGTTTTAAAGAGTTTATATGTAGAATTAAATTTTTGTACATGTATATACTAAGTTTGGTGGTTCCTGAAAAATCTCCGTGTATCCGGAACCGAAACCAAAACTTTTAAATAGGAAAGAATGTCTAGTGACAGAGAGGAGCTTGGAAAGAATTTTTGGGGAGAAAACACCATTATAGTGGATAATAAGCTAGTTTTCATAATATTTTAGCGACGCATGCGAAAATTTTGAAGTGAAAAAGCCAGATTTCGTAATTTTCAGTACCATAAGAGATAGAGAGAGTTCGGAAAGCATTATCTGATAATAATCAACGAAAATAATTTCTAAGAAGCGAAATGAGAATTTAGATGCCGGCACCCTAACTTAATACAAACATATATAAGGTTCTAACTGAAAATTTTTTTATAAAATTTTGATCAAAAGTCTTCAAAAGTCGTGTGCTCAAATGTTGAACAATCAAAAGTCGCTACTTTTATTTTAAAATAATTTGTTTTCAAAACTTTTTTTAATTAAAATTTTTCTTAATTTTTAATTTTTTTACATTTTATTCCCAAAAAAAATTAATTTATTTTCAAAAAAATTATTTTTCAACAGATTTCCTTTATTTTTTTCTCATTTTTAAACAAAAAATATATTTAGAATTCTGTAAAAATTATTGTAAAACTGTGGGAATATTTACCATACTAAATGTTTAAAAACTTGTTTATATTTAAGAAAAAGCGAGGGTGGAAATCTTTAAAAGTAAAAATAAAAATTAATTTTCTCAAAGTCACATTTTTGGTTTTTTTGAAAAATAAATAAAATTAATTAATTCTAAGAAATTAGATTTTTAAAAACTTTTTTTTAATCAAAAATGTGTGAGAAAAATTTTAAAGTTAATTTAAATTAGTCTAGAAAATATTTTTTGAGGTTTTTAAAAAAAAGTGAAATTAAAAAAAATTAAAATTATTAAAGTGAAAAAAAGAAAAAAATAAAAGGAAATAAGAAAAAATTTTAAGCAATAAAGTTAATTTTGATTGCCGTATTTACTCAAATAATTACCCTGCCCTGAGTAATTATTGTTTCAATTTCTCGCTGAAGGGGGTAGAGGAAGTAATTATTTGAGTAAATGACGTATTACAAAACCCGTATAAAATAAATATATTTAATAATAGTATATTCACTACAAATTTAACTAAATAATCTATAGTGTTCCCTAACTTTCACTAAGGTGCATAGGTCGGTCGGAAATAACGAAGGTACCGGAAATCGGAACTGTGGGAAATCGGAAAAGGCTCAAAAGTCTGAAAACGGAAATCGGTAATCAGCCTAAATTTTCGAAAATCGGAAATGCCAGACTACAAAATGGAAATTTTTTCAAAATTTCGGAAATCGGAATTCCGACCGACCTCCTCACTAAGGTGTATTATACATTGAGGTTAGACTGTATTTATTTATTTAAATTCAATTTTTTATTCAAAATCACTATATTTTATCTAGCACTATTTAATGTCTTTAAAGGTGTACTGTAAGCCAAGCAATAACGCATATAATTATTTCTTTCAGCAAAATATCTAAATAAAAATAAATATTTAATTAAAAAACTAAATTACCTATTACAATTATATATTATTTTAATAAACCAAAATTGTAATAAAAAAGTTAGAAGGTAAAGAAATAGAAAAGCATAAACTCTAGCCAAAGATTCTGCAGAAAGTGCAACAGTTGATTGGCCAGGAAATTCATTAAAAGGAATAATATTTAAAAGACGATAAAAAAGAGCAAAATCAGTAAATAAAGCAATTGTGCCAATTATTAATAGAAAAAATAAACAAAATAAGGCAAAACACTAAAAGTGAAAGAAAAATATATAAATTAGAAGAACTTCATCATGCATCCTTGGATACCGTATGACCTTATTAATTGCCCTCCCTCAAATAATTACCCCACCACTTTTAGTTACCCCATCCAGAGAGAGGTTGAAACAATAATTACCCAGGGTAGTTATTAAAGGATATAGAGTATCCTATAAAAGTATCTTATAATGAGGTTATCTCAAATAGGGAGGTATCTCTCTCCAAATAGCTTTCCCCGACGATCTAATGGTCAAACAAATTTCTAAAAAAACTTATCCCAAATTGAGTATGTTGGGATAGATCTCATAAAGCTAGAGACTTTTTTTAATAAACTAAATACCTGAATAATTAAATGAGGAATTAAAAGAGAAGAAGAATTTCTTTTCAAACCAAAAATAAGTAAAAAAACAAAAATTAAAGAAATTCCCAAAGAAATAGATTCAATTAAAAATGCTGTTTTTACATAATTACTGTGCCAAAAGGATAAACGTTGTTGCCTATCTAAATCTTCTTTTTGTTGAAGTAAAACCAATAAAGAATTTAAAAAGAATATCTTTTGTAAAAAATAATTATTTTTGTTAAAAATAAATAAATTTTGCTGATTTTTAAAAAGAAAGGAGAACGGACTCGGTGGTAAACTGAAAAGTCAAGCAAAATCTGTGCTAGGAGTAGATATGTACTAAAAGAGCTCTCTATCAGAGGTGAATCGAAATTCCGATTTCCGAAAATTTAGGCTTATTTCCGACTTTAAAGCCATTTCCGAGTTCCGACAGTTCCGATTTCCGGCACCTTTGTCAATTCTGATTCACCTCTGATCTCCATTAAAAAAGGATGCTAAACTTTTCAACTATTCCTCCACCGATTGATCTCTTTAATTTTTATTTTATTAGGTTAAGGGAACTTTGTCAGTCTTAAATTATTTTGATGTTTACTTTAGAAAGAAAAACCTACCAAAATAAAAAATATTTCAATAAAACAAATTAAATAGGCCCCAGTCTTTATATGAAAACATCCACAAAAACACCTATATTGTTCAGAAGATTCATCAAATTGAACTGGGCGGGGTAAACATTCAGAAGAATTTCTTCTTTTTGGCCTATTAATGGGGTGATCTAATATATTGTTAGTTGTTGTTGAGGAGGAGGAAGTAAATAAACTGTTAAATAATTAAGGGGGAAATACAGAAATAATTATTTACCTATTTCGAATTAAAGGAATTCTTCCTAATACAAATCTGCCACCCATTTATTTAATTAATTAATTATTAAAAAAAAAGAAGAAAAGGAAAAATTATTTTATTATTTTTATTATTTTTCTATGAAGTATATGATTTTTAAATAAAAAAAATCAAACAAAAGAAAAAATTTTTAGAAGAAATATTCTCTGGAGAGGTTAAAAAAAGAGGAAAAAAATAAAATATTAGAAAAGACAAATAAATAAAATGAATGGCATTTTGTGCCGTCTTTTAAAAGAAGCTGCCTAAAACTTTTCTTTCTTTTTTAAAATTTAATTTTTAAAAGAGAAATAAAATATATTTTTTAGTGAATTTGTAACAAATAAAAAATTCTTTTTTTTCTTTATAAAATTCTCAAAATCAAATTTTGTCAAGAATATTCAAAAGGACAAAAAAAAAGAAAAAGCATTGAGAGCCAAAAATCGATGTGGACACGAGGTAGTAAAAACGGGGGAAAGAAAAATTGCGTCAAGAAAAAAGGAAAAACACACATAAGAGAAGTACTGGAGGAGAGACTTTCTTTTTGGAAATAAAAATAAAAATTATAAAGCTTTTCTTCCTTCAAAAAGTATCCAAAGAAAATGGCATTCAATAAAAAAAAGAATTTTTAAAAGTAAAAGGATACCGGAAAGAAACGGAACATAAAAATGGAAACCTGAAGTGGAAGAAGCAAGCACAATAAGAAAACAAGCTTACTTAAGGAGCAAGCTTAATATGCCTAATCAAATGTTGTTTCAGTTTAAATTAAATTTTTTATCTCCTAATTAATTAAAATAATTTTAAATTTTTTTAAAAATAATTTTTTAAAAACTACAAAACATTTAACCAAAATTTCAATTAAAAAATATTTTTTAAAAATAACAGGGAAAAATTTAAAAATATTTGTATATACATTTGTTTTTTAAAAATATTTAAGAAAAATAAAAGAAAAAGGATAGTAATTTTGAATTTTGCCTTTATCTTTTTTCATTTTCTTAAAAAGTTGCATTTATCACTTTATTCCCTTATATAGAGTGTTCTAATGAAAATAATTAATAAAAAAAGAATTAAATTTTATTCATAATGTTCCTAAGGAAAAAAAGTTCTGTTAATCTTTAATTCCCTTAGTTGAATCTCCACATTTATGTATATCAGGTTTATTCCCCTTAAAGTAATCCAAAACTCGGGTTATATTCCAAATCGTTGACACTCAAAAAGATTTTCGTTTTTAATTTAAATGGAGGAGGGATTTTAAAAAATTTTAAGATTTTTATGCTTAAGGAAATGAAAAAAAATTAAAGAATGAAGTATGAACATTATGCAACTTTTAAGAAAAGGAAAAAGAAGGGTAACAAAAAAATAGTGAAAGGAAAATAAATGTAAAAATATTTTGGCATAATTATCTAAAAATAAAACAAATATATGAATGAGAGAGATCAATTTTATAAATAAAACAAAATAAATTTGATCGGTTATACCTTTTTATGCTTTTAATCCAATCCAAATATCATTAGAAGCCTCTGATAAACGGAATCTTTTTTCCAACTATACCTATCAAGCCAGATCCTTCCTTAAAAAGTTAAACATGATAAGTGTATTCCCTTGCGTTTTTCACATTTATCAGCTTGTAACCTTTTAAGGCATAATATCTCATAATATCTCAAGTTGAAAAAAGATTCAGCTTATCAAGAGCTTTCGAATAACTTAAGATCTACTTGGATTGGATAAAGGGTAAAAAAGATAGTCGATCAAAGAAAAGAAATCCTTTCCTTTTTAAAGTTCAAATGTACATACTTTTGTTATATTCTCTCTAATAGGGAAATAATTGCTTTAATTTTTTCATTCCCCTACTCCTATTAGAGAGAATATGGTAAATTGGAAAATTAAAGAACTGAAATTTTTTTTAAATTTTTCAAAAAAAATTTCCAATTTTTATATTTTTCTCCTAACTCTATTTATATCTTCAAAAAATTTCTCTTTCTCTTTTTTTCTTCTTCTAAATTTGTTCCATTTCCCCAACATCCTCTCCTCCAACAGTCATTCGAACATGTTTAAATCCATTTTTGTTGAACTTGGCCATAAAACGTTTAATTAAGCAAATATTCCCAAAAACAAGCAAAACCAAAATAATTAACAAAAGAAAACAAAGAACCATTAAAAACTTTAACAGAATTATTTTTTAAAAATAAAATTATTCTCAAAATATTTACTTGTTTCCCTTGAAGTAATTCTTTCTCTAAACATTCAATTTTTGTTTGCAGTTTTGTGCGGATTGATTTAAATTGTTCTGTTTGTTGTTTTAATTCTGTTTGGGCCTAAAAATGTTCTTTTTTAAATTTAAATATATTTTTATTTTCCCTACCTTCTTCAAATCAGAGAAAAAATTTCCACTAAATCCTTCAAGCAATATTTGTAGATCCTTTGGTTGATAAGTCTGAAAAAATTTTTTTAGATATAAAAATTTCGTTGTAAGAGATACACCCTTGAGGAAGAAATATTGGACTAATTTAAGAAGGACGGGGTATATCCTTATATTTAAATATTTTATTTTTACTTTTTTGTTAATCATTCCATTAACCACCATAATATCCATTACTTCTTTAAAATTATTTCCATTTCTTTCAAGTTTCATTACTTTTCTGGCAACTTTTTGTGTTGTTGGGGATATTGTTGTTGTTGTTTGTTTAAATATTTCTTCCTCAGCATTAATATATTTTGTTAATAAAATTTGGAAAAAAATTACAAAAATGAAAATTTTGAAGGAAGAAGATAACATTTTTTGTTAAAAATAAATTCTAAAAAATATTTACAATAAATTAATACCGTATTTATTCTAATAAAATGGCCCCTCCATTAGAATGGCCCCTCCAATAGAATGGCCCCTTTTTGGGGGTAATGAAAAATAGAATGGCCACCTCCATTAGAATGGCCCTCTAATAGAATGGCCCTTTTAACTAATGAGTATATGCCTGAATACATTTCTTTATTTTCCTATTATGTATTAAATATTACTCTTTAGTAAGGATAATCATAATATTTTCGAGCAAATCTGGAGTCATAAAAGGGAGATTAAGAAGGATATTAGGGGATTTGAGAGGATTAGGAGGGATATCAAGAAATTACAACGATTTAATGAAGATGCATGGGATTAAGAGAATTAATAGATATTTATGAATTTGACAATATAAGCAAGTTGGATATAAGGTTGTCGGATCCGGTTCGGATATTGGATCCGAATATCCGAAGATTTCCAACTATCCGACAACCTTAGTCGGATACATTTATTTTATCAGGGGACTTGCAGGGACATAGGATTTTGAGGAATAATGATGGATTGATTGAGATTTGGGATAAAATTCTGAATATTTCAGGACCCTTGAAGACATACGAAAATTTTGGAATTTTTGGTAGTTTAGAATTTTAATTACTAATCAATATCCCTCCAAATCTCTCCCAATTCCCATATATTACGTCCAAATTCCGAGATCCCACGAACTTTTATGAGCAAACTATACCGGAAATTTTGATTGTCTGGCACCAAAGTAAATAAAAAGTTGCCTTTTTGCCTAGCAGGCAAAAGATTTTTATGTTTTATAGTGTTACGAAAGAAAGATTCACTAACCAAAGCCGAAAATATAGAATTTTACACGAAAAATCGATTAAATTTCGAAGTCAAAAAATATTCGATCGAACATTTAATGCATCCTATCTCTGATTTTTACCTATGAAAAATAGAATGGCCACCTCCATTAGAATGGCCCCTCCAATAGAATGGCCCCTTTTTGGGGGTATCGAAAAATAGAGTGGCGGCCACTCTATTAGAATAAATACGGTATTTTAAATTCTTAAGTAACAAGTGCGTATTTTAAAGTATTTTAATTTTTAAAAGGTTTTTTTCTTTTTAGAAAAATATTTTTAGAGGAAAGTGAATATATTTATTAAATACAAATCTTAAATAAAAAATTATTTTGGATCGAGGATTTCCTCCCAAATGGCAAGACACTCATTAGCTAATATTTTTATTTATAAAATTTAAAAACAAAATATAATTTAATAACCAAATAAAATAATTATTATTTTTATTCGATTTAAATTTATAAAAATTATTCTATACTATTAATCCTCTTTTTTTTACATTAATTTTATTCTTGGAAGACGAAATGGCTTAAAAATAAAAAGAAATATTTGCTAAAAATGTTCTTAGATAAAAATAAAAAACAATTTTTGTATCATTTCCTTCTGAAAAGACTTTAAAATATTTATTTTATTTTTATTAATTAAATTTAGGGAAGTATGGATACATTTTTAGACTTTTAAAAAATAATTTTCCAAATCAGTGGGGCTTGGAAATTTATATTAAAATATCCTCAAGCTTTAACTCTAAATTAAATTGTGGATTTAAACAAAAAACATTTGGGGGAAGAGGACATATTTAAATTATTTTTTAAATAAAAATTAAAATTTAAGGTCAATCTAAAATTGCGTAAATAGCGTGGAAGCCTTGTAAAAATATAAAAAAGACTCCCTTGCGGGAAAAGATTAATTTTATAAAAGATTATCAAATGTTGCATTTTTCTTTCTAATTTTTTAAAAATTTATAAAACATTTAAAAGTCTTATTTAAAGCGGGACTTCACTAAAAAATATAATCAAGAGGGTCAATTTCTATACGTGGATAACCTGCTTAAGTGTTTAATTTAAGATAACCTCATTAAATGATACAAAATCCTTTTAGCCCCTTATCTTAATTATTTAAAAAATAATTTTATTTTTTAAATTTAAATAAAATAAATATTAATTGTTTGGCTAAATACAAGAGAAAAAGTTTGGCTTTATAAAGAGTCCGAAATAAAAATTATTAAACTCCGCCCATTTAAATATTAGCTAGAGTTTTATTTTCCTTTTCTTTAAAATATAAAATAATGAGAAAATTATTTTTTAAGTGGTAGGTGGGGCAAATTAATTGTTTGGCTCGAGATTTAAAAGAATAATATGTACAATTTAATTTCTCTTTTTATCATTAAATTTATCTGGGGAGGTTATTCTACTACAAATAATAGAGGTGTGACTTCCATTCGTTTGAAATCAGGTATGGCACACACACGCCTGTCAGATAGCTAAAGATAATTTAATACAACCCCAAAAAAATTTCAGAGCTTTATACATTATCAGGGAATGTATCTACATAAAAAATAAATTTCAGAAAATTTTAATTTCGGGAATTTTGTTAGTTCTGAGCGGAGGGCGATGAGACATTGAAAGACAAATGATATTCTATAAACGAATCATGTAGTACAGTCAATGAAAATTGAACCATAAAAGCATGCCAAAGACGTGCAAGACTCGTAGGCTTGAATTTTGAATCATGACTTTTTGGATTTTTTGGCAAGCGAAATATTTAACATAAGGCCATCTTCCTTGATTAGCGCCGCATTCGAAAATTTTGTGCGTCCCGTTACTGGGCAGCCTTTACTGACTTGGCTGACAGTAATGGCTGCCCGGTAACGGTTTACATTTTATTACATGGTATTTATAATGTAATACAGTATTTATAAATAATACATATGTATTATATTAAATATGTAGTACCATATTACATGTCTTATTATAATAAATTATTACATATGTATTATATACACCTTATATTAACCTTCTATACTTTCTGCTCCGCAGGAACAATTATGGAATTTTTAAAAACCCAAGGGAATTCATATCAAAACTTTTTTTGATTTTAACATGTCCATCAATACATAAATTCACCTTTCCAACCATAGAATTGATAAAAGATTATAATAATTTCTAGATAAATATCAACAGAATTCGGGAATCGGGACGGCAAATCCCTGGTTTATTCTTCATAAACTGGGCATGTTTCAGCTAATAATTTCCTTAATTTATCCAGTTTTGGATAAAAATATTCCTTTTGGCATTTAAAAACCGAACTGCAACTTTAAAAAATTCGAAAATTTTGAAAAAAATCCGATGAGGAAATCACGATAATATATTTACTATATTTTGTCTAAAAATTTAAAGTGATGAATTTTTAATAATTTAAAATATATTTATTGTGTTCTGTTTTTAATTTAAAAATATTTTAGTTTATATATCCAATTCCTTCTTTTTTTAAAAAGATTATTTTTCTAAAAAGCTTTTAAATTCCTTTACGGATAAAAACAAAAATGTTATTTTAAATAGATAAACTTTTTAGTTTAATTAATTTTTAAAAAATAAATATTTCTAAAATATCTTTTCCTACATCATCATTATTTTCTAAATAATTTAAATTTTTCATTTTTTAAATTCCACAAACTTTTAAATGATCTTTAGAATAAAAAGTGATTCTTTTAAAGAAAAAACAAATTTTTAAAAATTCATTAATTTCAAATTAAAGAATAATTAGTATTCTAATTTTTATTATTTTTAAAAATGTTCGTAAGTAGTAGAGTTGTCGGTTCTTGGAAAATCTTCGGATATCCAGAACCGAACTGATATCTGAACTGAAAAATTATCGGTTCTTCGGTTCGGTCCAGAACTGACAACCGTAATTTGCAAGTTTCAAAATATATTGCAAATATTTTTATTAAATTAAAAATTTTTTATTTATTTAAAATAAAATAAAGATATATTTTCTAATTTTATAACTAATAATTTCTTTTAAAAAAAAGTAGTAGGTGGGGGGATAATTGTTTTGTTGAGTTTATTAAGATTAATTTTATTTAAAGAAAAAAAGGAATAAATAAATATATATAATTATTTTTATTTAAATATTACTTTTAAAACTTTTAATACTTAGAAAAAAAAAGAGAAGATAAAATAAATCAACCAAAAATAAGTGCCAATCAAAAAATTATTTTTGCAGAAACAAAAAAATAATAATTTATATTTATTTTAATTAAAATTTAAAAAAAATAAAAAAAAATTTTAAAGCCAAATAGGAATAAAATTTTTGCAGATTTTAAGAAAAAAAAATAAAAAAGATTAGATTATTATTTAAAAATTAATTTAAATATATTACTGTAATATTTAATTAAAATAAATAAAAAATTATTATATTCTCGAATAATTAATTACTCCTCTCGATTAATAATTATCCATTCCAGTGAAAGGTTGAATCAAGGGCTGGGCAAAATTCGTTTCGAAACGTTTCGCTCTTTCGTGCCCTTTCTCCACTTCGTTTCGGAACGAAACAAAAAAATAATTTATTTCGTAATTGATCTAAATAAAAATTTTATTTCGCCCAACCCTGATTGAAGTAATATTTAATTAACCAGGGCAATTATTCGAGCATGTACGGTATTTTTTAAATTTTAAAATAAAATTTCATTTTATTTTATAAGCACTTCTAAATAAAAAAGGACAGAAAGGGAGATTAGGTTGGATATCAGTAGATTTGGAGGGCAGTCAAGAAAAAATAGTCAAAATTATAATAAAATAATTTATTTAAATTTTACAAAAAAATATTTTTATTATTTTTTCTAAATAAAAATTTTCTCAAGGGTCGAAGGTTTATTTAAAAACAAAAAAAGCTATGGCAACCGAAAAATAAATTGTTTGACTTGTTTACAATAAAAAGAAGAAGATGTATTTAAATTATTAACTTTTTTTCAAAATTATTTTGTTTAAATTTACGTAGTTCCTTGTCTAGAAAATTTTAAAGTAAACAAAAATAAAATAATATGTAACGAGCGTTAGGACGCCGCTTCGCGGCGTCCTAACGCTCGTATTATACGTTTTGATGTTCTTTTATGTTCTAAAACCTTGATCCTTGGGCCCTTAG